ATGCAGAGGCAGTTGCTGGATGTAAAGTCAGAGGCATTGAATGACTGTCTCTTGAGAAAGGTTGAGAAGCTTCAACATATCTTTGAAGGGTGATCACCATAATTTGTTTAAAATATTTTGCACATAAAATGACCTTGGCTTCAGCATGTCTAGTAATGGACATGGAGGGTGGAGAGTATAGATAGACATTTGATATTAAGAATACTCTTAGAAAAATAAGGAACTGAAGTAACACCTTTGTTTGGGACATCAGGAGAATGGTAGTCCTACATCTGAGAAATGAGTTTGGTATGTAATGTTCTGGGATGAGGCAGGGTAGGATAAGCAGATCAAACGATGCTAACGATGCTGGCCAGAAACATAAAAGAATTCTCCAATTCTCCAGCAAATGATTAGTGGACGGTTGAAGGCAGGATAAAAAAAAAAAAAAAAAAAAAAAAAAGCTATTGGTATATGACTTTTCTGGTGAACAAGTGGTCCAATGTACTGATGGCTGTGCAACATATATGAACGATAAAATGTACATCTAGATTCTAATGGTATTTCTGCTTGTCCGTGATGGCATCAATCCAGGATATGTGTGTGTGTGTGTGTGTGTGTGTGTGTGTGTGTGTGTGTGTGTGTGTTGGGGTGGGGGGAGGTTAAGCAAAAATCTTTATTCTTACAGGTCTTTGCATCTCCACCATGTTAAACCACAACAACTTTATATGAAGTTTCCACTGTGACTTTTGAAGCAGAAATACAATGTACTGTATGAGGACTTCAAGCCATTGGCATTTTTGTCCGCTCACCCTCACCAGGTCAGGTTTCCATGCAAGACATACCTTCTAAACTCTTGCCTTTAACAGGCCTTCTCTGGTTGGTTGTCCTTTGTAGAATCGGTCTAGGATGATGGGCCATCATATGTCCTGGATATACATCTTTCCTAATTGCTAAGGGCACTGGTCCTCATTCTTGCTACCATGGTATTTACTACTTAACATAGTTGCACACAATGTTACTTTTTGTTATGTTTTCATCTCAGGATCTTGCAGGAAGGGTGGGTTGGCATGGCAACAAACACATACTACCCCAGTCCTTAGGAAGCTGAAGTAAAGGACTGCTGTGAATCTGATGCCAACCTGAGTTGCAATGTAAGACTTTAAACCAACCCAAACCCAAAAACCTAGTTTTAAAAAAGGGACTATTGAATTAAGTATTAATGTCTATGAAAACACACACACACACACACACACACACTCGATATAAAAATATCACCTAAAATTATCTAGAGAAAGACAATGATGGATGGAGTTTTAGAAAGAGGAATTTGACATTAATTTTTATTTTCTTGGGGGCAAGGTCTTAGGTTAACACAAAATTCAAGGCCTTTCTTTTTCTTGCAGTCTTTCTTTGACCATTTCACTTTTTGTTATTCAAGAATTAGGTGAAAAGGGACAAAAGCAGAGATTCCTATCTGCTAGTGAAGCTGTCCTGGCACAGCCTTGAAGCAAGTTGAATGCAATGAGTAAAATCTGTCCTCAGGTCGCGGTGGGTCTGAGATTATCAATCCCTTCTTTTAGCCAGACCTTCCCTCCTGTAGCTGCTCGCACAACACTTGAACTTGTTTTTACCAACTTATTTAAACTCTGGAGGGTTAGTTAGCACCTGTGTCCCAAAGCACATGTCAAGTCATGTACCTCGATTTGGGGACTGGAGAGGTGGTCTCTACAGTAACAGAAGAAGGTGGTGGTCTGTTTCTCCAGGGCAATTTCATGGGCCTGAGGAAAGAATTTAACAGTTTATTTTCTGAAACTACTTCAAGGGACAGTCCTTAAGTGAAAAAAAAAAATTAATCAAGAATAATCTTACTTACATTTTCGGGGAAGCCTTTTTAATATGGAATTTCCATCTGCGACATATTTGAATTCTAGGCCTCAGGCAACAATAGCAGAGAAAGGCCCCTGTCCCCTTCATTAGATGCAAAGCAAACAGTACTTGCTGAGGGCGGAGCTTTCCTTTACTTCCCCACAGCATTCTCTCTCCCCCATCACAGAAATCACACAGTTACTCCCCCCCCCCCCCGCTCTTTCCCTCCGCAGCCAACTCTCCTGTTGGCATCAACATATTTATTGCAACTTTAAAGACTTGGGATTATTTTGTCTGCCTCCGAACCTTGTAGGAAAGGGGAACCGTAAACTCCCCCAAAGCCAGCGTGCAGTCCGTAAGCAGAAAACTGTCACTATCGAAATAGAATACTAGCTTGATCCAGATTTGACGCGCTGACAAAGGCAGGGTTTGCTATTTAGGAGAGCTCAGCCATCTTGACTGAGTACATTAAGCGGGCGGTCCGGTCTTATTACCTAGGCACTTTACCAGGGATTTCTAAGTTGGGGTGGAACTCCCAGCGTCCCTTAGAACAGAGGCCTAACCCGCTGGAGCTGTCAATACAGACCCCATTTAGGATGCGGAACGAAACGCTCAAGTTTCAGACTTTTATTATGCATTCTTCCAGTCTCGGAAAGGGCAAATTAAACTCCGTGTACGCTTAGAACTTTATTTCTTATTTTTCTTGACCTGTGGCATGTATTGAGCTCCTGGGTAGCAATGGTGTGAGACCGGGGCCCACTCTCTTTAATGGCTGAATGCACACATTTAAGCAGCACATGGTGGATTCGCTGCTCTGAGAATTGCCTTAGAAAAAAAGTAAAGTGCAAAAGCAGACAAAGAAATCTATAACCTTCTCAGTCTTTTCCCATTTGTTCGGGCCGTTCTTTGACCCAGCTCGGAAGCAGCAGCGTCAAGGATCGCGGAAGAGATGCACCTGAACCAGCGTGTGCCGGCGGCCGCCTCGGCCGAGCCGCTCAATTGCTGATTTCCAGCGGCGAAGGCGCAGCAGCAGTCACAGCGAAGCCAGCGCGAGCCTCCCCGGCGGCGGCGGCGGCGGCGGCGGCGGCGGCGGCGGCACCAGCGCAGTTTCCCCTCTCCCCAGCCCTGACTCTACGCGCACATGCGCACTGCGTCCGCAGCCCTGGACCATTTGTCAGGACTACTCGTGAGACGGAGAAAAAAAAAAGAGAAAATTTGGGGGTAAGAAGCGGCTGATCGGATCTAATCTCTAATTAATCCGCAGCTCGGCCCGTGCCAAAGCTGTCCATTGATTTTTTTTCTGGGCGACGATGAAAGTTCAGAGAGCTAGAGAGGGAAGGGAGCGCACCCTCGTCTTGGGAAAGAGATCAGGGGAGGGGAAGGAGAGAAGGGGTTTCTCCCCCACTTCTCTGCGCCTCTGGGAAAGAGGAGAAAACTTAATCCCGGGGAAAAAAAGTGGGCAAGTGACTCGGAAGCGGCTGGAGGGGGAGTCTGTGGGCATCTCACTCCCAAGTAGTGAGTGCGAGTGCGAAAGAGGAACAAAAGAGAGAGAAAAGAGAAAGGAAAAAATGGGGGGAGGAGAGACTTGTATTTTTTCCTCCTTTTGCGCGCACACGGGGAAGGGTGTGGGGGGCCGTGCGGAAGGGAGCGGGCCGAGGCGGCCGCGTCGGGCCGTCGCCGGCGCGCAGGCGGCGGGATGCGTGTGGGCCCCCTCCCTCGCGCCCCCCCGAGCTTGTCACTTTGGTCGCTTTTTTGACACCGGGCGCGGGGTGGCGGCGGCGGTGGGGGGGGGAGCGCGGCGTCGCGGGGCTGCGTGTCCGGGGCGGCGCTGGGGGGTGGGGTGGGGGGGACGCGGAGGAGCCGCAGCCTCCCCGGGGGGCGCCGAGCGCGGTCGGGCCCCGAGGCGGGGGGGGGGGCGCCGGCCTCGGGAGGGGACCGCGGGCACGATCGCGGTGGCGACTCGGTGCGGCGGCGGCGGCGGCGGCGGGAGGACGCGAGCCCCGGCGCGCCGCCCCTGCGGCCCCCTCCGCCCGTGTGGCCTTTGTGCCGGGCGCGCACCGGGAGAGCGGGCGAGCGAGCGAGCGAGCGCGAGAAGTCCAAGTACGGGAGACCGAGGCAGTGGGAAAAGAGGCCGGGCCACTTTGCTTTCCCGGTCGGCTGCGGGGAGAGGACGGACTGGTTGAATGTGGCAGAGGCGCGTCTCGCCGGCGCGGCCGTGTGTGTGTGTGTGTGTGTGTGTGTGTGTGTACGTGTGTCGGGTGTGTGTCTGTGTGTCGGGGTGTGTGTGTGTGTGTGTGAGTGTGAGTGTGAGCGCGCGCCGAGAGGCCTCCGCGACTCGCACCGCGCACACGCACCCGCACCCGCACGCACACCCGAGCCGCGGCGGGGCCGGCGGCCGAGAGTTTGCGTGTGCTCTGTCCCCGCTCGCCACCTCCCCCGCTCGCCGCCGCCGCCGCCGACTGTGGGAGAATTTCCTAGAGATCGCCTCCAATTTCCGCCATTTTGGGAAAGTTGCACGGAAAAAAAAAAAAAAAAAGCAATAAATCCTCCGCTCGATTTTTTTTTCTTCCTTGCCCGAGGCTGGAAAGTGCTTGTTTAAGGGAGCGCGGCCGGTGGCGCGGGCCCGACACGGGCGTCCCCGCGGGGAGGAGGGCGCGGGCCGGGCCGGGCACCCGCGCCGTCGCGGCGGCGTTCTTCTCGGTGCAGCGCGGCCGGTGCGGGCGTGCGAGGCGAGGCGGCGGCTGCGGCGGGGGCCGCGGTGCCTGCAACTTGTTTACGGTCGCCCGCCCGCCCGAGGCCGGCGAGCCGGGTCCGCCTGGCGCCGCGTGCGTGCGCCCGCCGCTCTGCGCTCATGGGCTGCCGGCTGCTCCCCGCTCGCGTCCTGGGCCCGGCGGGGCCGGCCTCGCGCGGCGGCGGCGGCGGCGGCGGCGGCGGGGCGGGGGAAGTAGAGGCCGGCGGGGGTGGGGATCGGGAAGCGCAGGAGCCCAGGCATCCGCCGCGCGCCCCGCCAGCCGCCGACCGGAGGAGGAGGCAAACTTGAGAGAGAGCGCCGGGCCGAGGGGCGCGCTGGCGGAGGGAAAACTTTAATCGCCTCCCGAGGGGCGGAAAAAAAAAAAAAAAAAAAAAAAAAAAGACCAAAAATAAAAGGGGGGGGGGTCTGGGATCCGAACCCCGCGATCGCGGCCCGCAGCGCGACCGTGAGAGAAAGTTGACCGGCGGGGCGGCTTGCTCCGCGTCCGGCCCGCGCGAGGCAGAGGTGTTTGTCTGTCCGTCCGCGCTCCGTGATAGCCCGGGTGGGAGATCCAGCCGCACTGCCGGGTCGCGTGGGTCAGGGCTCTTGCCCCACCCTTCCACGGGGACACGAAGGTAAACGTCGCTTGGTTTCCCTTCTCTGTCCTCCTGCAGCCACCGCCCAGCTTCCTTTTCCTCCTCTTTGCCCGCTTATATTTTTTTCTTTCTTTTTTTTTTGGAGGGGGGGGGACCCGAAAAACGGAGTCTCTTTCCTTATGCAACTTCCTCGGGCGCCCTTTGCAGGGCCCTTCCCCCCGCCTTCTGCATCCCTTGGCCCGCTCCTTTGCCACCTCCGGGCCGCCGCCAGAAACATGCATTTGAGATCATCCAAAGTGCCCAAGAACAAAAATACATTTTAAAGAATTGTTCTAAGTTAAGGGAAACTGATACGAGAAATAAATACCCTAGTGTGTGTGTGTGTGTGTGTGGGGGTGGGTGTGTGTTGAATTTTCATTTCGATTTTCGTAGATGGTTGGTTGTGATGTTTTTATTGGTGTGGGGAACCCGGGAAGCTCTGTACTAGCCACATCGGTCGCGTGGATTTTTGCGCAAGTTTTTAGAAAAACACTGACTCGAGTAGAGAGCATTTCTCCGGAAAGTTTCAAGTGCAGCAAAATAGCGAGCCTGCAAAACTGGCCAAGGGGGGACCTCTAGTGGTTAAGTGCACCTTAAGTTCGCGAGGAAGACAGCAAAGTTTGGCCTTTACTTGTAGCTACGTAGTCCGTTTAGACGTGGAAGTAATTAGAGGACCTGAGCTAGCAGCCAGATGTGGGGAAGGATGCTGATCAGAAATACAAAGTTTTGTGAATCAGAGAACAATGAAGTATGAGTTTTCGGACCTTTCCACCCTTCCTTGCTTACATTAAAAAGCAGATCCTTTTATTCTGAGATTTGAGATTAGCATAACCTTAGATAAGGAAATTTGTTTTATAATTACCATCGTCTGTGTCTCTCACCTTTTTCCCCTCTAAGAAGTCGTAGCAGGTAGCTTAATTTGGAATAAAACGTGTGCTTATAACTTTGCGAGTAGTGAAAACAAAAACCCTTGAAACTGCCTTCTTATATGAGCCGATCGTTTTGTGTTCTCCGACACGTGTAATTTCAGACTAAGTTGTTCACTAACTTACAAATATGCTCATAAAATAAATAGTATCTTCTCCTTGCAAGAATGTAATTTTGATTCACTGAGTAAAAAGTTATTCGGGGATACTTTGTATAACTTGTGATTTAAAACATGTGGGTTAAAAAAAAAGCCAAACAAACAATATATGTTACATAACTATTTTCCAGTGTGTATACTCTAAAGGATCTTGAATTTTAAATGTAAAAACCAGAGAAATGAAGGTTGTATCAAATCTTCCGTGTAACTGCCGCCTCTCTGTCATACACAGGAGAGAGACAGGATCCACTTAAGTAGCCCAGGCTGGTGTTGAACTTACATGTTCCCGCCTCAGTGTCTGTAGTGCTTGGGTAACAGTACTCTTATTTACAATAAGGAATTTTATTGTGTGAACTTAGAATGTGGGGACGATGTGAATGATTAAAATTAATTTTGCCTCATGTGGAACTGGTTTAATTTTATTTTAATACACAGAGCGATGTTGTGTGGAATGATGTATGTTGAGTTTGAATTGTTAGATGTAAGGGCTTTATGAGAGTGTGCTTTGATTGTCTTTTTTTTTTTTTTTTTTTTTTTTTTGTTCCCCCTTTCTTTTTTCCTTTTCCTCTTTTAAAGTCAGTGCTAGATCCTTAAGTGAAGTTTTGGGGGTACACAGCAAGTTGTGAAGGCCACGAGACAGTTCTGCCTTTCGCCACCACCTCGAGGTAAGAGTCACTGTTTTTCTGTGCAAGAAATGCTGGACACTGCATTTGGAAATCAAGGAGAGTGTGTGACAGGGTTAGTAGTGGGGGGGGGGGGGGCTAAGTTGGTGGGAAGCATTTTGAATGTGTAGACACCAAGTGTTCTTGAAAAGTTAGAAAGAATGAGACTGTTCTACGGTGTGTTCTAGGGTGTTTTTGGTGTGGGTACCTGGGGAGGCCAGAGGTCAACTGGAGATTTTACTTGCCTTCCTGTATTGCGCTTCCCCTATCCATTTTTTTTTTTTTTCCTTTAAACCTGGTTGCTTTCTCTGAATCTGGCTTGCTGATTGGTTGGATTGGCTGGCCAATGAGCTACATGGCTCCTTAGATTGCTCCCCTCCCCCAAGTGCTCAAGTTACAGAGGTCGGTGCTTTTATGGGTGTGTTCAGGATCTGAACTCACCTCTTCCTCTTCATGCTTTTGTGACTGTCACTATTGACTGAGACCTCTCACCAGACCCATGTTACTTTTTTCTTTGGGAGGGAGGAGTAGAAGGGGCAGGCGGGAGTGTTTTGAGGCAGGGTTTCTTTGTGTAGCCCTGGCTATCCTGGTAGACCTGTCACTCACAAGAGATCACCCTGCCTCTGCTTGCGGAGTGCTGGGTTTAAAGGCGTGTGCTGTGATTAAAGGTGTGTGCTGTTACTGGATTCTTAGCATTTAAGTGACACTTTTGCTAGAGTTGAAAAAGTGAGACAACCAGAGCAAAGCAGTTGTGAATGAATGAATACCTTCTATAAACATACACTGGTAGGGAAAAGCCCGGAACTTTAAATGTCTGCAGTCTGAGCTACATTTTTGTAACTAAAATTTATGATGGGGGTAGGGTGAAGTTAATGAATTAACATGTAATTAATATTTAAGTGTCTCCTATGGATTAAATACAGGAGGGCCTTACTTCTGCCAGATACCATGTCTTAGGGACAGAGCATAGACTCGTGCGTTTTTGAAGACGTTCTATGGGTGTATCGATTTGTTGTCTAATAAGATAATTTTGCTTTTCTTGGAGGGTGCTGGGACCTGCCTTTAGGACCAAGACCTTTTGATGGGGGGAACCACAGCTGGGTCAGAATAGCTAAGTAGTGCTTTCTGTTATTTATGCCATTCCTAAACCTTAATCTTTCTCTCTGGCTTGCCTGCCTACCTGTCTTGAGTACTAAACAGTTTGCTAATTCCTCTTTGGCAGAAGCAAAAGGAAATAAAAGTTAACTTTCCTTTTAAAATTTATTTATTTATTGTTAGTATTCCCCACCGTGTGTGTGTGTGTGTGTGTGTGTGTGTGTGTGTGTGTGTGTGTGCGCGCGCGCTCATGCATGGGCATATTGGTGCTTGCACATGCCTGTGTGAGTATGCATAATAGTACATGTGTGGCAGTCTGAGGACAGCTTTGGAGTTGTTTGTTTCCTTTCCATCTTTAGATGGGTTCTAGAGATTGAACTCAATTTGTCAGGCCTGAGTGACAGATGCTTTTACCTACTGAGCCATCTCTGGCCTAAGCATATTTTTTATAAGCAGAGCTAATTATCTTCTGTGGGTCAGGTGTAGATTACAAATGCAAATGAAACTGCATAATGACCAGAATACAAGTGGTTGTAAACAGTAGTTTATTGTCACATTCTGTTTGTGGATAATTCATACATAGATTTAGTCTTTGTATATGTGTGGGTGATCCTGCCGAGACAGTGGACAAGAACAGCTTACAAGGCCACGCACATAAGAAAGAGCATGATTCCAGAGAGAGGAGGACCCCAGCTTTCTGGGGTAGTCAGTGTAGTGTGTAGTGTCTGTGTGCTGAGTTGAGGACAATGCTTGATAGGCTTCGTCTGAGGAGCCAGTGTCTCTGTGGATAGTAAGCTAAAATGGGAACCAGAAAGCTGCTCTCTGCAATCTTATGTATCATCTTATAGGAGTTACTGGGCCTCCTTTAGCCTAGATTTTCCCCTCTGGAAAATGGAAGGAAATGTCAACATTGACCTTTTTTTTTTTTTTTTTTTTTTTTTTTGTAAAGGAAGTCTTAAATAAAATACAATTTTGAGAACTGTTAAAAAGGAATTCAAGTGTGTGGTGGTCATTTTCTCCTGTCACTGTCACCAGGTTTTTTAACTACCAAGAGTCAGGCTGTATAGGGCACAGCCTGGTTATTCAGTCCCTGGCTTTATGGTATGTATTGCATATACACCTGTCAGAAGTTTCCTGCTTGTCTTTCTGTTACTTAATTTTTCTTTTTTCCTTCCTTTGTTTTTTGAGGCAGGATCTTCTTGCATTTGTAGCTCTGACACTCTTCTGTGTAGACCAGATTGACCTGAAACTCATAGAGATCCTCCCACATTTGGCTCTGGAACGTTAGGATTTAAGTCCTGTGCCATTATGACTGGCTTTGTCTGTCTTTTCTTAATATTTAATTTTTTCTTTAGATTTGTTTTTGCCATGCACACCTTTCATCCCACTGATCAGAAGGCAGGGGCAGGTGGATATTTGTGAGTTTGAGGAAACCCTGGTATACAGAGCTAGTTCAAGGACAATCAGGGCTACACAGACAAACCGTGTGTATGTATGTCTTTGTATCACGTTGGTGCTTGGTGAATTCCAAAGTCAGAAGATGTTGCATCCCTTAGGACTGAAAGTGGGTGCTGGGAGTCCAACTCAGGTCCTCTGCAAGAGCAACAAGTGCTCTTCACCACAGGGCCAACTCTTCAGCTCAGTAGTCTTTTGTTTCTTAAGAAAAAAATGTATTGGTTCTGAATGGAAGGACAATGCTCTATCATGTTGCTGGTTACAAAGCCTGAACTTTGTTCCAAATGAATAAGGACTAAGTGAAAGAAATGTTTAAAAATAATGCCTGCTGATAGAAATGTAGGGTGAGGGAAGTATAGATTGGTGTGTGTGGGGGGGGAATTTGTTCACTGTAATTAACATTTTGGCGGTATAGCCTGGAAAAGACCGTGAGAAAATAGCTGATTGGGGAGGTAGTAATGGGAGTCCCTGGGGAGGACAGGAATTGATTCCTATGAATGATTGGTTTTAAGGCAAAGTTCAAATAAGACTCTGCCCAGCTGTTTTGTGGACATCCTTGTTTCTGTATTGCTTATTATACCTAACTCTCTAAAACCTAGATAGAAAAAAGAGAGAGAAATACTATGTTACTATTTTCATCCTAATGATACTGAACCTGACAAAGCAAACCCTGACATGTTCTGGTTTTATTAGTTTTATTTCACTATATATATTATCCAATCAATATCCTGAGGGTCTAAACACTCAGTAGTGAAGGAGAGGAGGTGTACTTGTCCATTTAATTAATCCTGGAGTAATGGAGAGGTGGTTCTTGAGTAAACTCCATGCTTTTTTTGTTCTTTTCTAATTTTATGCCTATTGACATTTTGCCTGTGTGCATGTCTGTGTACCACTTGTGCCTAGGCAGGTCATTTTAGAATCCCTTGGAACTGGAGTTACAGATGGTTGTGAGCTTCGGTGTGAGTGCTGGTAATAGAACCTGGGTCCTCTGGAAGAGCCGCTAGGGCTCTTAACCATGGAACCATCTCTCCAGCCCATGGTATTTTATTTTTTAGGAATCAAGTAATATCGTAGATAAGACAATCATGATTTATGGTAGATAGATCAGGATGGGGACAGTGTAAGAGAAATAACTTTACATGGTATGTGATAGTGAAACCCATGCCATCCCATGGACAGATAGGTCATGGAGTCTTCCCCAAGCAGTGTTCTCCGTTTCTGAACTAGTTTTTACTGAGTTTCAGCAGTGTTGGAATCCGAAAGGCTAGGTTTTGTTCCCATGAGGCTCCCAGGATCTTCAGCCCAGGAGAAGATATAACTGAGATCTCTGCCAATTGTAACAACTGTTGAAGTCTCTTCTAGTGTATATATAGTAATAGTATAACAAGTGCTCAGTGTGCTGTGTAAGAGAACACATGCTCTAGGTGTTGTAGAAGCCAGTGAGTCAGCAAACATGACCTTAGGTGCTGACTGATGGTGTCCAGTGCCATACATACATACATACATACATACATACATACATACATACATACCCATTTTAATCAGTCTCCAGAAATGTGTAAGCCACTTTCTAACTAGGGCTGAGGAACGCCTTAGTGATGGATTTTATTTGACTCGTGTGTTCACAAGGTGAGCTGACTTTTGAAGATCTACTCTACCACTGTTCCTGTTTGTACTATCGGGTGGACTCATGTCTCCTTGGAATATGGGGATTATTAAAAGATGGGTAAAGGTACTGTATTTAAAATCATTATGTGTTCACATACATAAAGGTTTACATATGATGTCTTGATGTTGAAAGGCTCTGTAAAAGTGTTTTTGTATGTATGTATATATATATATATATATATATACATATATATATATATTAAAGTCGTCATTATCTAATGGAGAGATTCTCAGGGGTAGAATCTCAGTAATATGTGTGGATGTGAGTCAGTGATTGTGGCCGTTATGCAGCTGGTGGCAGAAATGCAGTACCAGGAACAGATAGCCCTGATGTAGGGTTGAATTTGACTTGGGGTTAAGGAGACCCCATTTGGGAAACAGATAGTTTGAAAGAGGGAAGAGAATGTGTCAAAGGAAGTTGGCTGAAATTGAGTGGTCTTGGAGAGAGAAGTAGATTAGATTTGGGGGCCATGGAGATGAATCCTGCTGCAGGATGAGGTGGCCTGAGTTTGATCCAATGAAGGAAGAGAGCTGATGGAGGTTATCCCCCTCCACAAGAGTGCCATGTGAAGAGACACGGGTATGCACTCCTGCATACGTGCACATACACTGTGAGAAGTACATGTGATTAAGTGAAAAAATTGCTTTGGAGGAAGTTAGAAGAACTGCGTGTACATTATATGTGATATGGTTAATGCCTTTTCCATATCCTTCTTTCCCCAGCATGTACTGTGTTTTGTGTTCACTCAGCTCATTTGTGGAGCATCTGTTTTATGTAGATCATT